TTTCACTGAAAAAATACCGTCTAAGTCTCTGAATGTTTTATGTCTACAGCCACATCAGATATCATGAAAAAAAAAGGAGGCTTATGTCTTAAAATTACTCAGTGTTGGCTTCACCCTTGTCAAGGGCTGGCTCCCCATACGGAAGCTGACAGATTTAGGGTACACTAGATATGTTTTATCAGTGAGAGGAATCAAGTTCTGTATGTGTACAGAGCATGGTCTTAAAGTCAGTGATTTCACTGATAAAAAACAAAAGACACCTTTTTCCTTCGGAGCTGTAGACACCTGACTGAAAACCAGGGTAACCAGACACGCCGTAAGCAGGAGGTGCAAAGACAACAGGTAGAGTGTTCCTACTGAGCACATCCATTCTGAAGGGTCATTCAAATGCCTCTCCACAAAAAAAGCCTGAATGTAAATAATGTCAACTATCTATGAAAGCAGGTGATTTAGGTCACTGAGCAGTGTACCTTGGTTAAATTATATTATTCTTTCAAATACTTCATGTACATCTGAGCTACTCACTTTGCTTGTCTATAAAATCTTCTCTAAGGAGAACTATCCACTGCTTTAGAAGGGAAAGCAAACAAATGGAGGCATGAGTGCCATTGAATATCGGAACAAAATGTCAGGTAAGGAAAACCACACATGATCCAGCCAAAGGAGAGCTGAAACTAACTGTAAGTAGTGAAAACTGTGAAGGAGTGGGGCAAGATTTTATTATTGGCATAAAAATATTACCAAACATCTCATCATTCTTAGATCCATTCTTATTGTAGGAAAAGAAAGACTGAGGGGATGATGGTGCTGCAAGAAGAAAAACCTAATTTTTAAATTCTGGAAATTCAGTTAAATTTCAAGCTCATGTTTCACTTTTTGGATGGAAATCAGGAAAAAGTTTTGCTCAAGTATCTTGAAAATCCCATGTCCTTTCTCCACAGTGACTGGCAGTTAGACCTGCACTACTGGGCCAAGGAAGCTTCTGAAATTTTGACTTTTGCCAGCCTTTGAAGGAGAGAGGAATGTGGAACAAGCAATCTCCTCCTCCTCTGTTTTGAATTTGACAATCAGATCCAGTTGCAGACTGGATCCTCAGGGCCTGTGATCTTAGTTCTTTTAGGGGGTCTGCACAGGAAACAGGTCCCCAGAACCACACTGACCCACTAGTTGACAGAATCTTGCACAGCATCCCAAGTTTGCTGTGGAGGAAGGCTTCCCTCATTAGAGACAGCTACTTGGGATGTCAAGGTAGGGCAGCAGCTAACATTCAGTGTGGCATCTGTTGTGCAATGTGGCTGCTTATGAGCTTAGAAATCCTGTAATCAAATGTATTTCAGTATGGCAAGATGCTGTTCCTTTTTTTCTGTTTCAGTGCAAATTAGAGAGAACTCAGCTGTGGCTAAATACTTACTGCTTTTTACTGTGTTTTCAACACAATCCTTTTATGTGTATGTACATCTCGCCTGCAAACATTCCTACACACTCAACAACAGATGCATTGAGGATAGTTCTGCCAATTGCAAAGCTACTCAGAGTGCTGTAGTTGAACTCTGAGTATAGAGCAGCCAGCTGTAGTAGATGACAACATTTTTTGACACAGCTGGCATCTCTGCTGGTCACAGCTGGCATCTCTGTTCTTGATCCACTGGGTCACCTGAATCCTGTAAGAACACTCATCATGGAAATAGTCTGAAACAGATAAACAGTCTGAGCTTCCTGCAGAATATATTTTTGACCCAATCTGCAATGTTAAGAAAGGGCTCTGATAGCTGCATATATTCTCTTCACTCCTAAGTAATAGGGGTGCACTGCTTACTTGTCCTAGTCCTTGTGGTCACAGTGAGATTGTCACTGTTTTATTAGTTACTTTTGCACTTTCTGATGTTCCTGTAAAACAACATTCTGAACATTCTGTTTCAGGAGATGTGCCTGTCAAGGAAGCAGGGAGAAGGTGGATGACATGATGAGTGGCTTCCAACACTTTGTTTATGTCTCCACGGGGTAGAAGCATTTTGTTAACTCTGCACTCTCAATGTGGATCAGTCACTGCTGCCAACATAAATAATTTCAAATATTTCACTGAGAATTGCTGCAAAGCTACGGGAGATTTTCTGCCTATATGACTGAGATTGTGTCTTCTTTGATTTCAACTTGATTTAATTTTGTAGAAGGAGAGGCATATACAGGATGAGTGTTAGTGCAGCCCTGCAACTTGCATTATTGATACTTCCAAAGTGTCCAGTTCAAATGGGGGCAGAATGTTAACAGAACTGAGAGTATCAGTCTAGTGGCTGAAGGACAAAAATAAGCTGCCTTTTTGATCTTTGCTGGTCAACAAAAGCATGCTTTGCTAGCTCCAGAAGTCTTTCATGTGAGAGAAAATGGACAGAGATGAAAACTCATGTCTGATCTAACACTTTGGCAAGCTTTATTTTCTTACACCCACAGGAGAAGATTTCTAGCTTTTCAAAAAAATGGACAGAAGTAAATCAGAAGTCCCTTTCTGCAATGTAGAAAGTCACTGTTAAAGTTTATTCTGTGTCTAAAACATGCTCTGTATACAGAATTATAAATTTTAAAACCCTACCCTCAACTGAAATTAGATTGGTCAGAAAACCAGAGCCTCTGGGCATAAATCACATCCTCAGTTCTCTAAATGGATCACAGAATAATATTTAGAAAAATATTTACTATACTTGTAATCACTTTTCTGGCATATTTTTTTTATGAGGCTCGAAGCCTGGTAAGTTTCTCTAACAATTGACTTGGAATACACATACCTGAAACTCAGCAAGTAATTCAAAATAATTTTTCAGATAAATTAATTTTCTTCTTTATTTTCTGCATGTAGAAAACCTGTGAGCAAGTAATGAGTTCCATTAATTCACTAATTGTTCGAATGTACTCCACATATTCTAAGTGATATTTTTATTACTTAGAATGGAGTGATTGGAAATAATTTGTTGAGTTATTTGCATTAAATGTCTGTCCCTGCTTCGATGAGCTTTGCTGTCATTGTGAAGATAAGAAGATGAGAAATCTCTGAGGCTTTTGTATTTTCAGACAATGGGAACAGATTAGGGACAAGGAAGAGAAAATGAAGATTAGGGGATTTTAGAAAAATAAACCTGTGTATTACTGTTGGTTTTCATGTCAGAAAAAATGGATTTTTTTTTTGATTGCCGTACATTTATTTCTGTCATGTTTAGAACCCCTGTAATGGTCTATTATTCTCTGTGGGTCACTCAGGTAAGGTAAAGACAAACCCTGCTGCCCTGGACTGTAGCAGAGTGTGAAGCACAGAGCAAGTGAGAGAGTTTCATGGGAGAGGGGATGTCCAACTCAAGCTTCTCCTCTGTGAATGTTACTGTTTTCATCCTGCTGGACATTTCTCAGAGTAAGCTGTATTTCAGATTAGTGGCCCTTGGCAGTAGGCTGGAGAAAGATGAGATTTTAGTGTGATATGGTACACAGGCATGGGGAGAAAGCAAAGAATATGTGCAAAAAATTGAAATGACAAGGTCGTGTTGATAGCTTGCTTGTGGGAGCAGCCACGGTAGTTTGTTGCATTATGATTAGAGATGGGCCCGCTAGCATGAATGAGATGAGAGCTGGTTTGAACCTTCATCCACTCCTCTAACCAGACTGAACTGGAGCCCACGATGAAGTTAAAGCACATCTAGCATGGTGAGGCTAAAGTCCACATCTAGCCCATGGAGGGGCTAAAGCACATCTGGTACATTTGGTTTCTCAACATTATTTAATGAGCTTCTGCTTCTGATAATTTATCTCAGAATAGAAAACAGGAATCTAGAAAAATATTCAGGACATTAATCTAGTTTAAAATCCTTCAATCTGGAAAACCTGATTGTATAAAACCATATAAAGACAATTTCATACCATTCCCAGCCTTCCATCTGTAACAAAGAGTTCCACATCCTTGTTAATAACCATCCTGTTAACAACATGAAACAAAGTCTGCAAAGCTTTCAAAATTCAACACAGGGTCTTTTTAATTGTGAAGCCCTCAGATGAGATGCCAAGCTTCTGTCAAAGGCTGAGTGTGAGAGTAGTCTGTGTACGAGGACTTGCAGTGGGAACTGCACTGAGCTAAGCGTACAATCCTTCTGTCAGCTCTTTCTCTTCTCTTTGGCTTTATCCTGTGGGAAGTAGCTTTACATTCTGATTCAGACTACAAGGGATTCTGCGAAAGCTGAATTTCTGCACTGGCCGTGCTTATTCTGCAGCGTGTGTCACACTCCCTGCGGTGAGGGCTAAGTTCTCCCTATTTTGTGCAGCCTCTGTCTAATGCAGACAAAATTCCTCCTTCCCACAAGGATTCCAGGAGAAAGCAAAGGCAGAGAGCAAGGGCAAGTGGAGACAAGCAATGCAGTTTACCTTGGACTCCCTGTTTTGAAACACTTACCAAGCTCACTGAAGTAATAGTTGTGATTTGGCTGAATAACAAAATCCATATCCTGCCCATTTCTCAAAAGTGCAGTCAACAGTAAAGGATTCTTCTCTTCCTTTTGCCTTAATAATGTCACTGCTTAGTTCTTGGTTACAGGTATTCATGATGATACGGTGGGGCAGAAATACACAGGAGTCCAGAGTGTTTTGAAGTGGCTCTAGGAGTCACTGAAATAATGACCTATATTGGGATAGGAAACTTTTTTCCTGACCATTTTCATCCTCAGTGTGCTTTACAGACCTGAGAGCAGCATCTCTTTGAACTGTGGCAATGCAGAGCAGAAAGCAGCTTCTCCAGCTGAGGCTGCAGGGAACACTCTGCTATGTGAGGACTGGAAGGATAAGCAGAGCTTCTCACCCATATCTGGATAAAGGATTGCACGTTAACGTGCTTTCCCTTTCTTCCCCTCCCTTCCAGTCCCCTCCCAAATGGATATGGCAGTGAAAGAAGGCAACCAAAGACTCCTTTTCTCTTTTACTTGGAGGTAAATGAATCTGACCTACTACTTAATGAAATCTCCTTTTTACAGGATGAAGAGAGCAGATAGGAAAAACAGAAAAAGAAAAGAAAAAGGAGACCTTCACATGTAAATTTTCTGTAAGGAAAATAAAACTTGAAATTAACCTTGCCTGTTATTTGGAAACGTATAATTGATTATTTACCCCCAGTTATTTTGTTAAAGGCTGGGCTTCTATAGTCTAGTAAGTCACTGCACTTAAAAGGACCCTCTAAGAGAGATGTTTGGATTTTTTAACCAATAATCATCCATTTCTGCAGATTAAATAATGCTTCTAAAAACATGATGCAAAGCCTCAGAATACTGTCTATTGATACCTGCAAACAAAGTCCAATTAACTCCTTACTCGATATTTTTTTTTACTTTGTAGTTATTGCAGTCTGATTTGTCATTTAACAAAATTTATTCATATAACAAAATATGAAAAATATGAAAAAATAATAGGCATTATATGGCTCTCTATATAATACATAAATAATGTTTTTCAGGGAGTTTAAAGACACATGACTTCGATGTTACTGAAGATTGTGTCATAATCATCAAATGGAGCTGGTGCCAAATAAACCAGATGGAGCTTTCAATCAACAAACTGCATTTATTATTGATATCTGTGGCTTATTTGTTATACATGCACCTTCTAACAGGATAAGGTAAGAAAAAATATCTGCTTCCAGAGAAAAAAGAGAGCTATTAGAAGCTCTCACCTTATTATTTGACCTGACAGCACAAATAGATGATGGGAAAACGTCAAAGTACAATACTAAACTCCAAGTGGAAGGAATTTGTTTGATGCTTTCTGCTGGAGTAGAAGGTGGCATGAATTATTATTTCATTCTCCCATACAATAAAAAATTTCAGAGTAATTTTATTTATCTGTGCACATATTACTCCTTAATTATTGTCGATTGCATTGCTCTACTAGCACATTTCTTTTTTTGTCTATTTGCAAGAACATATATAATTTTATTGAATATATAGCTTTGCTTGTGTCTATATCATATTGCTTTTATATACACCTTTATATATATTGTATTACATTCTTCCTGTAGTATGAAAGAGACAAAAACTAAGGAGTTTGATAGGTAACCAATATATGTCATTTTTTTGTATGAGGCATGACATAAAAAAGCCCTATAGCTATGACTCACTTTGGCCTTCTAGAGACATGAAGAGACATAAGGAATACATATATAAAGAAAAAATAAACTCTTTTAAAATTGATTTTATTTTGATTTTTTTTCAAATGCCTCTTTTTTTGTCTCCTCTTTTTTTTTTTTAATTGGTAGTCCCTGTCTTTTCTGCTAAGTAAAGATGGATAATCCAAAAATAATACTCCCCCAAGTTTTTTTTAGCATTTGAATGTATGAAGACTGTTGTATGAAAAAATTATGTTGCTTCTCTGAAAGTTGTTCAGCCTTGTACGTAATTTCCTCTTCTCTTTATTCATATGTGTTCTCCTAAGAGAAGAAAAATATCTGTTTGTGGCCTAGGATGTATTTTTGTTACTGAGACAGGTAAAAATTCTGTATGCCAAATGTTCTCATGTTTATAGGGAACAAACAATCTTACACATTCCTCCTTCCCTGTGCCTGTACAACTCCCTTTCAATCAGCTCCCTGCACGCCTATAACTTTGGAGACTTTCTGCTCCACTTGCTTCAGGCTACAGGCATAGATTGGAGCCACTTCCTTTGCCCTTCTGAATATAAAGAAGTTAGAACACAGAAACAAGGATATTTCCATTTAATTTTAATATTTTGATTTCCTAGACAAAACTTTTGAACAATATCTGAATTTTGCCTTACTGTGTGGAATGGTAGTAGAATTTCATGGTAATGAGCGGAATGAATTGTAATGGGTGGTTTCCATATTTGATGCAGTAAATAGATTTAATGTATCAGTGCAATTCGTATGATATGTGATTTTCCAATGAAATTTCTAGCAAATGAAAGACTGAGTTTAAGACTGACATATGAGGACTGTTCCATAGAATTCAGATTCTGCATGAGAAGTTAATATCTGAGTATGGAGAAGTCACCTCTGCGGATTGATGTGGTGGGCCCAGTCCAGTGCCACTCACCTCTCCACACCCAGCACTGTAATCAGCAAGTCTCTACACAGAGCAGAAGAGTTCAGCAATCAGGATGACTTAACTATCAACTTGACCTTTAAGATCCCTTCAGAACAGGTTTGATCCACACTGATTTACTTTATCCTTCAAACCATCAGATCTGTATTAAAACCCTGATTGACCAGAAGTAATTATTTGATGCCTTATGTTAGCAATATCCCAAGGCCCAAGATGAAAACTGGGGATGAAAGTCACACCTTACTGAAGTCAAAGGGAGGATTACTTTCAGTGGAACTGGGATTTCACCCAGAAAACCATACCAACAGTGTTTGGGTCCTATTTATGTCTGAAGACACATGAATCTTTCTATGGTGCCCATCATATTATGTAAAAGGTATCTCACAAGCTACTCTGATATATTCATTTAAAAATAGGAGATTTTATTGAAAAAAAAGTACAGTGATGGCATAAATGATGTACTGGTTTACTACAAAATGCTGTGCCACCTGATAGGAGAAATATATAGTTCTATCATTCCTTTAATAATGAAGGTCTTCAGTTGTTTATACGGCTTTTTTTCACTGAACATGAGGAATACATGCAGGAAAACTGCAAAATCAACGTTAGACAGTTATCTTGCAGGCACAGGAGCAATTAACATAGACATTTGTGATAATGACCAACATATATCCTTGGATTTCTATAACTACTTCTTAGTAACTTTAGTCATTTAGCTTCCTTCCTTAAAACTCCCTCAAAGGTCATTTCCATAACCTGCCGCTTTCTGGGGCAGATGAATCAGCTGCATTTGTAACTCCCTGTTTTGTCTCTAGGAATAGTTTTCTACTTATAGCTTGATCCAAGTAAGTTGGATTTTTTCCAAAAACTGCTGAAAAACCAGATCTCTCTCAGTCATGTAGGTGAAGCACTGATACACAGTTAACTTAGTATACATCAACTATTAGGTAACAAGATTTCTAGGCCCATGTTAAAAATATATCTTGCTTATTCTGATTTGATTCTAATTATGTCATGCATGAAATTCTATTAGCTTAGGAGACAGTCTATAAACAATTTTAACTACTCTCCCCTATATACCTATTGCAGATATTGACGATGGGCTACTGCAGAATAGGACATGTATGGATATAAATTCCTAGAAGTCACAGAATAATACCCAACTCAATAAAATTATAGAAAACAAAGTCCTGAGAACACCTCTCCCAAAGCATTGGCATGTCCTATGTATAACTTTGTTCCTGAATTTTATACTAACATGGTGCTCCAAGTATGACATTAAGTGTGTACATTCACAGACTCCTATTTGTGACGTGCAAAACCAGAGAGGCTTCTTCACATATGATTTTTTTTTCTTATCCACCCACAAATAGAAATAAATACAGTTTAACCTTGTCTGGGAGAAAGAGAGCAATTTAAAATTTAAATATTCAGCTTGAAATAGTAGAAAACTTACAATTGGTCTTGAAAAAAAATATATAATTTAATATTTTTGATACCAGGTGTATAAACATATACACTACTCTATATAATAATTTTACATTGCACTGTATCAATACAATATACAAAATATTAATTTACATGTTTTTCTGTATATACTATAAGAATAATACATAAAAATATTTCATATCCATTTTATATATTTTAAAGTGTCTGTTATATAAACTAGAAATTAGTTATTAACTATAGTTATATATAACTATAGTTATATATATGAATATGGTATATTCATTTATACAATATATTCCCACATTCCCTGATAAATGATTCCCTCCCTCTCCTGGGCAGAATTTCTAGGATATTATCACATAATTCTAGCACGGATACATTCTGCAGGCACCAGTTTTTCACTGAAGATACTAATCACAGAAGGAAGTGGTATAGAAACTCATATTGATGTTTTGCCTTTCCAAAGGAAGTAGATGACAGCAAAGCATAATTCAAGGTCTGGTTGCCAACATACTCAATTAAGCAGAATTTGGAGGAGGAGGAGAAGGAGGAGGGGATGGCTGGAAACTCCCAGTCATACTACAAATGTCAGCTATCTGCTGTCAGAGACCTGGTGACGTTGAACCAAACTGTGAAATATGTGTAATTCTTCAAATATTGCTGATGATGTAGCACCAGATTTTTAATTTTTCCATGCACATGTGACTGCTTTTGGCCATGACAGGTTTTCATAAATCTGGTGTCATTATAGAACACATGACTTGTGTCACCACTGCTACAACAAGAGAAATCCATCACAGATCAAAGTGCCAGGAAACGTCCTATTCACAATATAAGCCCCACTTAAGCTTTCCAAATACAGCTCGAGTGGAATTTAAGTGGGCCATAGGCCATGTTTTTGCTCCTATACACAGGCATGAATTTTACAATGTGAAAATACATTAAAATACAATGCATTTTCTAATATAACATGAAGCTATCTGAAGTCACAAGGCCATTCAGACCTAGATATCTTTGCCAGTATTATACCTTGAATGCCATGTTCATTTTTGTTGAATATGAACCTAAACAATAAAACTGTCCAGTATTATTTTAATATTAGACTTTCAACCTACATACTATATTAGATATATCTGAACAGAGATGTCTGTAACCTTCTCAGAGCCCAAGCTCTTTGAGCAAAGATCATGCTTGTCTCCTTGTTTATGTGTTGCCTAGACTGTTTCAGGCTACAAAAAAAAAAAGACTTTTCTACTGTAAGACATTTGTTGAACTCTAAAAAATCCTCTATTGATATTTTGATATTTTATATCAATATGTAGTGTGTATATATATATATATATATATATATATATATATATAAACTGATAAATATATATATTTGCTTATAGGAAAATGATTGTTCTACTTCACTGTAATGCTTCCTGACTTAGGCAGCCTCTTCATGTAATACTACAATAATTTTTTCCTATCCCAATATTTAAATGCAATGCTAACTGATATTTTTAATGTGTTTTTTATAATAAGCAAAAGTTTAGGACACTTTAGAATAATTATACAGTAAAAAAAAAGTAACAACTAATTTAAAGCCTATAGAGACATTTATGTCATCCCATTTATTCTTTGCAATGAGAAAATTTCTTTTTGTGATTGATTTCAGTAGATTCCAGCATCTGCTTTCTTTCCCAAAATTGAAACACATTGATTTTACTAAGCATTGCAGGCTATTACACCTACTTGTTATAATGTAGTAAAGTAGGAAACTCTATAGGCCAACAATCCCCACTGAGGTGCTTTGAGTTGCCTGTGTGATCCTAATGATCATTTTTATTCCACTGCTATTGATTTCTCCTTATTTCAATAAAACAATAGAAAATAAAATATTCTGTTCATCAAGGCACATGTATCTAATTTCATATAATATTTCACTTCAAATTGTCTCATATTATTCTCTCTGATTCATTTAAAAAAATCACTATAGTGGGAGAAAGTCAAACTAGAGATTATATTAGGCTGAGGCAAATGGTATTCACCTTTTATAGTCCCTATGTTTTATAATGAAGATACTTCATTGAAACAATGATGCATACTTCAACAGT